GTGAGCTCGTTGAGAGTAGAAACTGTCGTGATTTTCTTTCTGCGCCCCCCCACGGCTTGGCATACATTAAGTGTTTTTCATTAATTCCAAACAGCAAATTAAGAGAGAAGAAGAAAAGCTATTTCAGGAAGCTTAGCCAGATGGAGAGAATAAGCTACAATTCAAATAAATATATTATTAGAAACTAGGCAGAGAGGGGAAAAAAGAGCAATATGTGCAGAAAATCTTCCAGCAGTCGCTGGAAAGTCTGTGACTCTCTTTTCCCTTCCACAGATGCCGAGGGAACTATGTCAGTACCTCATTTAACTGGCATCACTGGGAAATGAAGGTCTTCACATGAATGACTTTTCCAGATAATTAGAAAATCTCCTTTAAATACCCAAACTTTTACCATCACTTTTAACTGAAAACTTTCTAAAATAATTTCATAGTTAAAAAGGCAAGGCAACAAATGTGTGGGGCTGAAAGGTAATAGTAAAAATGCATTTCCAAAGATGAACTAGGTGCAAGAAGTAGTGACAAAGAGATTATCTAGGAAATGTGTGATTGGAAAAGGAAGTGGGTCAGTCACAAAGGGAGAGCAAGGGATAATCGTTAGCCCAAGTCTTGTACTAGAATCTATGAAATGTTCAAAGATCTAGAGAAAGTACTCTAGAACACTGGAAGGACATGAACAAGCATGGCACTGGATGAAGCAATAAGAATGGGTTGTAATGGGCACCCTTAGAGGAAATATAGACCTCAATGGGCTCATGATTCAATTTAAGTCTAACACTATCTGGTTACATCTTTTTTTTTTAATTCCTACCAAGAAAAGAGAATGAAAATGAAATGAAAAGTAGAATTCACTTCTGCTTTTCAACTTGGGATATTTCCCAGTGTCTAAAATATGCCCCTCAAATGAAATTACACCAAAATAACAAAACTGAGAACATTTCTCTTCTATTAAGGCATCACAGCCCATATAAAAAAAAAAAGATGCTTAGGCATCCAGATACAATAGTCCACAACCCCTCCCAGTTTCTATTTTAAGGTTGTTTAATGTTTGCCACTTATTTTAAACTTACAATTCAACAAGCATTTATTAAGTGTATAATTTATGTCAGTCACTGTAATAGATTCTGGAGATACAAAGACAAAAATTAAAGAGACCCTGGCCTCAAGAAATTTGCATTCTACCAGGAAGAAATGAGGGGCAGTTAGATGGCTCAGCAGATAGAGTGCTAGGCCTGGAGTCAGGAAGACCTGACTTTAAATCTGGTCTCCGACATTTAATAGCTGCGTAACCCTTAAACCTCTGTTTGCCTTAATCCACTGGAGAAGGAAATGGCAAAGCATTTGAATATCCTTGGCAAGAGAACACCATGGACAGTATTGGTGTGCTGTGAGATCAGAAAGAGTCAGACACGACTGAACAACAAGGGAGAAAAAAACACAGGCTCATAGGAACATAGATTTAGAGCTAGAAGGGCCTTTAGAGGTCATCAGATACAACCCCCTCATTTTACATATGAGGAAACTAAGGCACAGAGAGATTGAGCGACTTGGCCAAGGTAACACAGGCACTGAGTGACAAAATTGGGATTAGAATGGACTTCATATTGAGTGTTCTTTCAACTATATCACACTGGTTCCAGAGGGCGCCAGAATAAGTATCAGAGGTTGGGGGTGAATCCAGGTCTTCCTGTCTCTAAGTCTAGTGTCATATCTACTACCTCCTATACGTAGAAAAGCAAATATAAAATACGGATGGTGCAAATGGTGGGCAGTATCAGAAAAAGCCACAGGCAGAAGGCAGCACATAATCTGAACCTTGAAGTTAGCTATGGTGTGGAGTGAAGAGACATAACGTTCTAGGCAGAGGCAACCCTGGACAATAAGGTGGGAAATGGATTGTAGTGTCCAGAGAATGGACAGTTTGGCTGCAACACAAAATACGTGATAGGGAATAATAAGAAAGTAGACTGGAAGGGTAGGTTAGGGCCAAATTATGGGGGGCTTTAAATGCCCAATTAAAGATCTTGTATTTTATTCTACAGGCAATAAGGAGTCGCTAGAGTACTCTGAGCAAGAGTGACACAATCAGACTGTGCTTCAGGATTATCATTTTACTGAGAATGGAGTGGTGAAAGGAAGGATTGGATGCATGGAAAACAATCAGGGTACTATTGTAATAGTGTAGGCAAGAGGTTATGAACCTGAATTAGCAGTAAGCTTTTAAAAAACTGTATCTTTTGTTTTTGTATCACCTTCATTTCTGAATGTATCACTCTCCGTCCCATACCCAGAGAGCCATCTCTTATAAGAAAGATTTAAAGAGGAAAAAAAAAAGCAGTTTGGGAATACTGACCAATATATTAACTGAGTTGGGCAGTATCTGCAATGTTCCATATCTCCTATCTTCTTCAGGGAAAGCTTTGCCATTATAAGCACAATAAAAACAACTAACTTTCTTGCAGTAATGGCTGGGATCAGAAGAAAAGGAAATATATAACTGAGCCCTGATTGCATATTCACATTCATACCCCAATTCTCTCTAATTCCCTTAAGTTGAATGTCATGTATACTGGACAAGTATGGAACAAAACAGAACTTCCTGGAATCCCACAAAGTATAAACTCAATGAAATGAAAATCTACCCAAACTACTTTTTGGCTCCTCTGTGAGAGGTAGGAAAGTAGCCACTATAAATAAATTCCATCTAGTTCTGCCAAAAATCTAAAATAAACCAACCTCTCCTCAAAGTCAGTGGGAGCAAAAGCTACTAAAAAGTATAACTATTTGACAGCTGTTTGCTGCTTGGAAATGACCGTCTCTCTAAAACGAAGGCAATTTCTAGTTTATACTAAAGCCTGATGCCAGATTGGAAGGAAACAAGAAAGTAAAAAAAATGGATATAATGGGAATTCTTTACAATATTCTTTATCACCTTCCTCACAAAATAGGTAAAGGAGTGCTGGGAAAGGGCAATAATAGATCAGAATAACAATAAAGAGCTGGCAAAATTAAAGAAATGAATGATTTTTTTTTTCTTTTTGGCTAAGCAATGGGGTTAAGTGATTTGCCCAGGGTCACACAGCTAGTAAGTGTAAAGTGTCTGAGGCTAGATTTAAATTCAAGTCCTCCTGACTCCAAGGCAGGAGCTCTATCCATTGTGCCACCTAGCTACCCGAATGAATGATTCTTTAACAATGGACAAGGTAGGACACAGAATAGGGCCTTCCTGGGCAACCCACTTGATGAAAAAAACAACTCAACAGATGGAAATTCAAACAAAATGAGTTGATAACTTCCATTTTTTTGCAATGTGAACCCTCTCTGCCAATGGTGGATTCCTTGCTTTGAGATTACCTTTGAGAAAACAAAGAGCACATATGTTCATTTCATGCGATAAGTATTTCAATGTCCTAAACAAATCTAGAATATTTTTGATAAACTGCTGAACCCTGACCAGGGAAAATGGTGAAAGAGATGTAGTCTACAGAAATAGTTCTTGTCAACAAAGAAACCAATTCACTTTGAATTTGAGTCAAGGCAGCCACAGAGTAGATATAAACTTACAATGAAAAAATACACATTTTGTATGAGGTTACACATTCTGAATGTATATCATTCACAATCTGTCAGTTATTGGCTGGTGGAGTTTAAATTACCTTTGCTACTACATGTATTTTTAAAACACTGGGTATTGAAACTGGTCATTCTCAGAACACACTACCATGCCCACCCTCCTTATTAAGATTTCAAGATCAGTCATATCAGAACAATATGCATACAGCCTAATAGAATGAAGTATTCTAGCAATGGAGTGTATTAATGGCAGTTTATTTTTAAAAATCATCTGAATAAACAGTCACTTGCCTACAGAGAACAATTCTGAAATTTTTTAGGCCACATATTGGATGGCTAACCATTTGGGGTTATTCTTTCTTAAAATAACTAATACTGATGGTAATAGTTTTGTAAACATTTTATGAAGATGAGAAAATACACATATGGGTCAGTAATTGTTATCTTTTTCATCACAATTTTTTGTTATTAATATTTGTTATTATTTGCAATTGATTCATTCTCTTAGTATTTTCCCCTAATATATTTACAAAGGGTTTTGAATTCTTGAAAGAACATTCACTTCCATGACTACATGACAAATTATGTAATAGTTACAAATCTATTACTGCAGCCATTTTGCTGTTTTAAAAACATGTTTAGAGGGGCAGCTAGGTGGCACAGTGGATAGAGCATTGGCCCCGGAGTCAGGAGGACCTGAGTTCAACTCCAGCCTCAGACACATGATACTCACTAGCTGTGTGACCCTGGGTAAGCCACTTAACCTCGATTACCTCGCCAAAACAAAACAAAAACATGTTTAGGCCCATCAAATTTGCTTTGGGTTCTCATTACTTTTATCAATGCTTTCTTTTCTCTGTCTTCTCTGAGTTATAGATAATCCTTCTTGCTGTCACTTATCTTATTAGGTATAGAGAAGATAAATATCTGATTGTGGCTAATACACTACATAACAATTCCCACCAAAAAACATCCGTAATTTTACCACCACTACCTTTTTTTTTTTTTTTTACAGTAACAAAGGTAAGACTTCTAAATATTCTCACCAGGTGTTAATTTGTATGTCAATATTGTTAGACAGTTTGTATGTTCAATTTATCTGTATGAAGAAATTCTGATGTTATTTTAGGAAAGTTCCTTCTTAGACCACAACTCAATTACTTCCCTAAAATAAAATACCCCAAGTCTTCAAGAAACAAGACAGCATGTAAATGTTCAAGTGAAAACAATGGTTGATTATATCAGCAAAATCGAAAGACAATTTTTTTTCAGGGTTTCAAAAGATCCATGTTATTATCAACAGAGGTAATTGTACAAACACATATTCCAACTACTCCATATCTTAGCAGACAATCTTCATGGATTGCTATGGCCAAAACAATTTGTTATCTAATGGTCAACATTTGTGAGATACAAAAAGAGATACTTACCATACTATTATTGAGATTCTTGTCAACTTTGCAGAATGTATGTGGTGGACTTTCTCCTTTACTAGGTATGATAATACAGATATCTGTGACAGCTAACGTGTTCTGTGTCATGCTCTCAGAGGCCCTCCTGTAAGTGACATAAATTCTTTGTGATGAGGTACTACCACTAATGGTTGCAGGGCGACCATGTGGAGTAGTCTGAATAATTTCACAGCCTTGTTTTATTCTTTCTTTCCAGTCATATAAGACCCTAAAAATTAAACACAAGCAAACCTTCCATAAATAAACAGAACACCTTGATCCTTTAACATATGAAACCAGAAAAATTAACAAAATTTTATTATTTCACTTTTAAGGAAAATGTAGAGATAAGGATGTTTCCTCACATAGAAAAAGAAAATTAATAGAATGAAATTATAAAATGAGCTAAAGTCAATACATTTTATCACAATAACAAAATAACAAGAGCAATAATTAAGAACCAAAGCATTAGGTTTTAACTCTAATTAACGGAATTAATGCATACTATCTATGGGACATTGTGTGAGTATGTTTTAGAAGATTTATGGGAAAAGATGGGTAAAAATTGCACAGTGTGAGACAGCATAGCTATACATTGTGACTCCATTGTTGGAGGGAATAGCCACAGAAGATATCACAGTCATTAAATTACCTAACAAATACGATATCATTTTCCTTTTTTAAAGCTAAAGAGGCTTCCTTTAGAAGAAATAACGATATCACCGACATAAGTTTCAATTCTGCAACCCTCCTTCCCCTTGCCTAAATTTTATAAACTTGTCTGTCTGCTCACTCGCTTCTCCCCATTAGATGGGATAAAGTTGGTTGGATTTGCTGTATAGCGCTTTTTGTTTCCTATCTTTTCAAAAGGTTTTGAAAGGGAAAAACAGAACTAGAAAGGGAAAGGCTGTCACCATTTCCAGGGTCATTAGAAGAGAGCCCTAGTAACAACTGACTGCAAATGCCTTCTCAAAGCTACAACAAATAGCAGAAGACTTAAAAATTCTGGTATATAGAAAGGAAGAAAAGGTTTAGGAATTCCTTTCTCCTAAGTGACCTTTCCAAGTCTATGAAAGTAACTACATGAAAACCAAAGACAAAGAAATCCATGAAATGTGAAATAAAATTTTCATAAATCCAAGATTTAAATATGCATAAAAATTTCTAGACTGTTAATATCTGCACAAAGACTTTTTGCTTCTACAAAATAGTTTAAAATACAATAAGTACTCTGTTTTTAGTGTACTGTTTTCAGGGCTTCTTAAACTTTTTTTCCACTCACAACCCCTTCAGCACTTCTTACACTGTGGGTCGCGGCTGACTTTAAATTATACTTAAGTTGAATTTTTCAACGTTAAGTAAATTCTCATTAACGTTAGAGGTTAACATGCCTTTAAGTTCTCTTTCTCTGCTCTCTAATAAATAAAATTCTTATTCACAATACTGTTACATAGAAATTTTCAAAATGTTATTGTACACTAAACTTTAATTAATACTACTAAAAGGTAGTGGTCAGAAGAATAGAATCATGAAATTTCAGGGTTGAAAAGGGCCTTAGGGATAGGAAATATCCAGTTATTTTCTACTAAGAGAGGTACAGAAATGGTAATGGAACACAAAAATATGAGATTTAATATAAGGAAAGAAAGGGGTGGGGAACCTGTGGCCTCGAGGCCACATGTGGCCCTCTAGGTCCTCAAGTGTGGCCCTTT